GTTACACCTAAACAGGGCTGGGGCGAATGTGCTTGCAGACAGGCTAACTAATGTTGTTGGGGAGGGTTTAAACTAGTTTTGAGGGAAGGGAATACAAAAAACAAAGAGCTAGAAAATGGAGAAATAAAACAGGGTGGGGGGAAGTGCAGAACAGGTCAAGTCGGTCTTGGAGTACATGTGCCTAAATGCACGGAGTTTAGCAAACAAGATTGGTGAGCTGCAGCTCAAGTGGTCATCGGGGGATACGATGTAGTAGCAGTAACAGAGACTTGGCTGAAACAAGGACAGGAATGGGAGCTGCATATTCCAGGCTATAATGTATTCAGGAGGGATAGGGAAGGAAAAAAAGGAGGGGGTGTGGCAATGTTAATCAAGGATACGGTTATAGCTGTGGAAAGGGTCGAGGCGCTGGAGGGCCCCAAAACGGAATCTATCTGGTCAGAGTTAAGGAACAAAAAAGGAGCTGTTACGCTGGTCGGGGTATACTATAGACCACCAAATATTGGGAAGGAAATAGATGAGCAGATCTGCAAGCAGATCTCAGACAGATGCAAGGCCAATAGAGTCGTGATAATGGGGGACTTTAATTATCACAACATTGACTGGCAAAACAACAGCGCAAAGGGCAAGGAGGGGGAAAGATTCCTCAAGAAGGAAGCAGTGTTGGATCTAGTTCTGGGGAATGAAGTCGGGCAAGTGGAGCAGGTTTCAGTGGGAGAGCATTTGGGCAACAATGATCACAACATCATTAGATTCAGAGTGCATATGGAAAGGGACAAGGAACCATCTAAGGTGAAGATACTCAACTGGAAGAGGGCAAATTTCAGTGAGTTAAAAAGGGACCTAGCCAAGGTGGACTGGAAAGAAAGGTTGGCAGGTAAAACAACTAAAGAGCAGTGGGAAGTCTTCAAGGATGAGATAGCTCAGGGACAGAATAAATACATTCCCACAATCGGGAACAGAACTCTGCAGCCCGTGTCCTCTCCCCCACCAGGCTCTGCAACCCTATCACCCCCACCCTCGCCCAACTCCACTGGCTTCCCATCATACAGAGGATACAGTTCAAGATCCTTGTCCTCACTTTCAAAGCCCTCCATGCCGTTGCTCCCCCCTACCTGTGTGACCTTCTAAGCCCTACCAACCCGTTTGCTCCCTATGCTCAGCTGGCTCCGGCCTGCTCCACGTCCCCTGCCTCGCCTGCTCACCATTGGCGGGTGGGCTTTCTGCCACTCTGCCCCCACCCTCTGGAACTCCATACCGCAGTTCCTCCGCCTTGCCCCCTCCCATGCCTCCTTCAAGCCCCGTGTCTTTAGTCACCCTCCACCCACTCCATCCTCCCTGATCCCGAACCCCAGCTCGGATCCGAAACACTGATTGTCCAGCGCCTTGGGACGTCTTCCCGATGTGAAAGGCGCTATACAAATGTATTTTTTGGTGGTTGTTGTAAAAGACGTTGTTCAATCAAACAATTCTTCATGGTTTCAGACTCCTGTCAGTGGAGGAAGGCCCTTCAGGTCATTTGCAAAATTCAGAACCAAGCAGTGAAATGCATTTGTGGTACAAAGGGGAAGGAGGGCTGCAGCCTATAGTGACCTGGTGCTTAGTATGCTTGAGGCAGAGTTAGGTTAACAGTGATATGACTATTTACCAAAGCCTCTCATTTTAAACCCTGGATTAATCCATTTATTTTGAGTAAGCCTAGTAAGTTCTGAGTAAGCATTATTCTGCCGCAGCAATCAGGATTATTACCAATGTCAAAAATATCACAAACAAATGTTACTCAAATAATTGTCTCCTGCTCTAACTTAGGCAGTTTGGTTTGAGTGAGCATTGGACTTTGAACCTCTAGAAAATTCAGTGACTGGTACGTTACAAGCTGTCCTATACAGGTCCTAACGCCACACTGAGGACACATAATAATAATCCTTGAATTTGGTATATTGCCTTTTATATCAGGAGGACGTCCCAAAGCACTTCATGGGCTATACTGTAAAGGGCAGTGGTATGTAGAGAGGTAAGCAGAATAGGAAGCAGAGAGCAAGGCTAAAAGGTTTGTTTTCTAGTTGGCGGAAGGTAATTTGTGGGTTGCTGAAGAAAGGAGAGCTTGAGCAAAAGGAAAGCTTAGGTAAAATATTTTCACTCAAGAGTTGTTGGGGCCTCTCCTTTTTCCCCATATATTAATGACTTAGACTTAGATATAGGGTATATAAAGTTTGTGGATGATACCAAGATAGGAAGAAAGTGAGGAGGCTGCAAGAGGACTTAAATAGATTAGTACAATGGGCAGATCAGTGGCAGTTCAAGTTTAATGTGAGGTGATTCATGTTGGTAGAAAATATCAAGGGAAGTTATACAATGAATGTCTGTTATCTGCAAGGAGCAGAGGAGCAAAGGCAATTGGGAGAGCAGGTACATGAGGGCCTTGAAAGTGGCAGCTCACATGGAAGGGGCTGTGAAAAAGTTTGTAGTATTCTGGGTTTTATGCCCAGGGAAGAGAGCAATAGTTGGTTAGGCCACAGCTGGAGCACTGCACCCAGCTTTGGGCAACTCACTGCAGGAAAGATGGCAAGGCCTTGGATGGGGTTCAGAGGAAATTTACTGAGATAATCCCAGGGATGAGGGGCTTTAGTTATGATTGGAGAAATTGGCTCTATTATTGGAGCAGAGAAGGTTGAGAGGGAATAAAATTAAGGGTTTGACAGGGTAAATAGAGAAGCTATTACCACAAGTCAGAGAGTCGATGACTGAAGGCCATAGTCACAAGAAAGGAGAACTTCAGCAAAAGGAGAGCTTATGCAAAATGTTTTCACTCAAGAGTTGTTGGGATATGTATGCCCTGCCAAGGAAGTTGATAGAGGCAAAGTACATTGTAGGTTTTAAAAAGGAAGTAGAAAGGATTTGAAAGATAGGTGCTTGAAGGGGTATAGAAATAGAACAGGGCAGTGTTTGAACGAACAGCTTGCTCTAAGAGCAGATTCAATGAGCGGAATGGCCTCCTTCTGTGTTGTACATTTTCTACGATTCTAAGCAGGGTTGTTCAAGCTTAAGCATGGTGATGGGTTTTGGCATGCCCCAACACCTGTCTGACCTCAAAACAAATCCTCACCCATTGAGAGATGGTTCCACTTATAGAATGCAGAGTCAATTGTGTAACTAATATCTTGTACTTACTCGTTCGATGTGATCTGCATCTCACACTGCTATTCAGGCAAAATTCAAACTTTTTTTTTAGTCAACCGGGAAACCCATCACCATGCCAAGCTGAGATTTCCATGCATACCACCCACACATGGAAATTCCAGAGAGATTCTTGCAATGGAATGTGCACTCCTGGATGGATGCCCTGTTTACCCAATTGTGGAAAGTATCAGACACAGGTTGGCAAGAGCCAAGACTTGGGGAACCTAGACTGTGCTTTGGGGTAACAGCTGGAGTCTAACCAGCTAAAAACACATAGTTACCATTGAGAGCACTGCCTGGCAAGCTTTCTCACTGCTTGTGCAGCAAGAACCACCCTCCCAGTTAGGGCTTAGCTTGCAGGTTTAACAGGATCTGAGCGGAATGACTCCCTGCCCTCAGTGACTGGTCTGCCCTTCCAGGTCCTGTCGATGAGTCAATGCTGTCATCAGCGGTACCCTGGAATACTGCAGGACTGCCTGGCTACGAAACCAGACTAAAGACTGCCAGAGAGGGCTGGCTTGAATCTGACATTCCATTGCAAAGCATGTAACTTTTGAGCCAGTTTAGCTCCAAGGAGACCTCACATACCTCTCTCCTACAAAGAGGCGAATCACTAGATGGTCGTTCGACATCCGACAAATGCGGATTTTTTTGAGCCCACACTGGATGGATGGCAGGTACCAGGAACTCCCTGAGAGCTTCCCAGTGGGCAACACATCTCAGTATGAAATACGTGAGAGCATTGGCACCATCTTCCTTCCAAACATGATCCTGAATCCTGCACAATTTTAAATAAAAAAAGCTTCCAACCTCAGGAACCCCATATGTGTGTTCCAGACTGGTAGATGAGCCGTAAATAAAGGCTTGCCATGATGTACTTCGGGCACAACTTGTGAAACATCACTACCCATTCTGAAGTGACTGGTCACAGACAAAAGAACAAATAATTCATATTTAAATAGAATTAGAATGCAACTACTTGTCTTTAGCAACTATATCTTGCAAACATACAGCAACTTTCATTTAGGACGATCAACTCAAAGCCCTTCAAGTTGAAGGCAATTTCTCAACAAAATCATCAATCAGGAAAACAGGAGGGTGATATTGAGGTTATTGACCAAAGATATGGTCAGAGATACATTTTTAAGATGGTTTGAAGTTGAAGAGAGAATGTGCAAGGATAGGATTTCAGGAAAGAATTCGAGAGTGGGTCCATAGTGCCTGAAGGCTCAGCCACAATCAGCAACTTGGAAAGATCAGCAATGTCACAGAAATGAAACTTTGAAGAGGTAGTTGAGGAGGGGATTGTGAAAAATAAAATCAGAATTAACGGGTTATTGAAACATGTGCTGAGAGAAATCTTGTAAAAATAATCTTGGTTTATATGGCAGCGCTGCCTCAGGCCTATACAACACAGCAAAGGTGTACTGTTACACACAGGCAGCTGCCACTACCTCAAGAAGTAGATCCAGAAACTTTTGATGCAACAGCACAACCATTTTTATCTGGCTGGGGCTAAGGTGCCAGCGTCCCTCAGGTCAGCATTAGTTTGCCCTGTTGCCTGCCAAAGACTTCCAATAGATAAAAGTTTCCCATGGATTAAAGCTGCAAACTCCACACTTAGCTAGGTTGAGCTGACACTTTGGAGTTTGCCTGCAATGTAAATGGAGAAAACTCCAAATTCTACTTAAGCTGTTTCCGAAGTATGAGTCAGTCAGCTGGGGCTTCTGAGGTAAAACCGATTTGTACACTTAGTATTTGTATAAGAAGTAGAATTGCACAACTTTGGTGTTTCCCAGGTCACAGAAATTCATACTTACATTCTCCACATTTATATTGGCTTTTGCACTGGTCTCCATGAATTTGATGCCATAGTCACCAGCTAACTGAAAGATACAAGGATAATATATCCGCATTTAACACAATAAGATTATCTTATATTACTAACTGCAACTTGTATTCAAGCAAATGAAAATTTCAAAACCTTACAACGTGGAGTCCTGTATTGGTTGCAGCATTTGCCTCGCAAGTGAGAGGACCTGGGTTCGATTCCCAGGCGGGGCGAAACGTTATGCAAGTTTCCTTATTCTATGCACCTCTGTTTACCTAGCAGTAAGTAGGAGCCCAGTTGTTAATCGATTGGCAGATCGCTTTTCCGGGGATAATAATCCCTTCAAAATGAATAAATAAATACAGTGGAATCCGCTTTAGCCGAACGCTGGTTAACCCCAGATGCTGGGTAAATTGGATGAAATGCCCGGTCCTGATTCTTTTGTATTCTTGCCTGTTTTAGTTATGGTGTTAATTCAGACAAAAATCCATTATTCCAGGCAAAATGCCGCGCTGGTCACGGCTGCCCTCACTTTTCATCTCTGTTTCCCCTCTCCCTCATGCTGTCTCTTACTCACTTCCTCCCTCTCTGCTCTCACTCCCTGCTCTCTCTCTCAGCAGTATGACTCTGTGTGCCGAGCGGCTCCTTTCAGCCACGAGTGGCTCCGGGATGGAGATAGGAGGAGTCACATTGCAATGACAGTGGATTCTAGCCATTCACAAGCAGTTACAGACTATCAGTCAGTGAGGGGGCGGAGGAACGGGGAATAAACAAGAGGGGGAATGGGAGGAGTCAAATTGCGATTGATTGACAGTGGACTCCATCCATTCACAGGGTCTCTGGGTGGGGCAGTGGCTGCATTCGATGGTCGGGTATGGGACAAATTAACGGGGTCTCTGAAGTGATTGACACCTCCAGGAGCTGCCGCTAATTGGTCCCCTTCCCACTCAATGGGAATAGCACTGGAATGGTAGAGAGGAGACTCTCAGCTGAGCAAGAAGAGAAGAGAAAGGTAAGAACTTTTTTTTNACCAGACGCCGAATAAATCAGACAAAACCCCTACCCACAGAGGTGGAAGTAGAGCTCTTACGAGGGTCAAAAATGAATCTTAGCACTGCCGGTGTCACAACATATTGGGGCATTGAAACAAATAACATTACTGCACCAGAAAGCCATCATTTAGAGCAGTGGTTCAACCTTTTGGCTGCCGAAGGTTGAATACCCTATTTGAGAAACATCCGCGGGCCGCATGAGCAATATTTTGTGTTTCCCTTCCAGCTCCTTTTTCATGTTGGAAGGATGTCTCAAAGTGGGCACCTGAGTTGAGGTGGGAGCCGAGGTAGATGGGATGGGGAAGGAAAAAGATGACTGAAAGCGTGGTCAAAGAATTAGGCCTTGACATGCCTAGAAATAGAGGAGGGAGGGAGCGACGAGTCGGAGGGACTCCAGTAATGGAGCTCCAGAGAGCGGTGGCAAAATGGCAATGGTGGGGCAGATGGGGGGAGGGGGTCACGAAGCAAGCTGGTGTAAAATATAAAGCAAGCTGGGCAAAGGGAATGGCTAGATTGGGAAGTCGCCAGAAGTAGGGATGGGTGGGTGTAAAGATGAAGGACAGAGGAGTTTCTCACTGGGGAAAGAGGGAGATTTCTGTGAGAAACTGCATGTCACGTCGCTCAGTGTGTGTCCTTGGTCCCCTCCACAGCGGCCAAGGGAAGCTATCCTGACAGTGAACCACAAAACACTGCCCTCACTTTTCATCTCTGTTTCCACTCTCCCTCATGCTGTCTCTCACTCACTTCCTCCCTCTCTGCTCTCACTCCCTGCTCTCTCTCTGCTCGCACTCCCTCTATCTCTGCTCTCTCACTCCCTCTCTCTGCTCTCACTCCCTCTCTCTGCTCTCACTCTCTCTCTCTGCTCTCACTCTCTCTGCTCTCACTCCCTCTCTCTCTCTCTGCCCTCTCTCTCTCTCTGCCCTCTCTCTCTCTCTGCCCTCTCTCTCTCTCTGCCCTCTCTCTCTCTCTGCCCTCTCTCTCTCTCTGCCCTCTCTCTCTCTCTGCCCTCTCTCTCTCTCTCTGCCCTCTCTCTCTCTCTCTGCCCTCTCTCTCTCTCTCTCTGCCCTCTCTCTCTCTCTCTCTGCCCTCTCTCTCTCTCTCTGCCCTCTCTCTCTCTCTCTCTGCCCTCTCTCTCTCTCTCTCTCTCTCTCTCTCTCTCTCTCTCTCTCTCTCTCTCTGCCCTCTCTCTCTCTCTGCCCTCTCTCTCTCTCTCTGCCCTCTCTCTCTCTCTCTGCCCTCTCTCTCTCTCTCTGCCCTCTCTCTCTCTCTCTGCCCTCTCTCTCTCTCTCTGCCCTCTCTCTCTCTCTCTGCCGTGGCGGTGGTATGGCCCTCATCTCCAGGAACTCACTTGCTCTATCCCCTTTACTCTTCTGGCTCATTCCTCTCATTCGAGCACCTTACACTCTACCATCGCTCCAATCTTTCCCTCAAAATTATCATTTACTGTCACCCCCAAAATCTCCCCCACCTTCATCTCTAATGTCTCCACCCTCCTAGCTTCCCTCTACCTTTGTTCTGAACGCTTCCTCATCCTTGGCAACTTCAATCTCAACACCTTCTGCTCTATCTTCTCGGACTTCTCCTCTTTCCTCTCCCAACCTCTCCCTCCTCATTCGCTCTGCCACCCACATTCATGGCCACCCACTTGACCTGGTAATTATCCGGGACCTCAGTGTCACAATCACAGACAAAGCCACCTCCGATCACCATTTCATCTCCTTTAACTCCTCAATCCCTCTCCCCATCTCCACCAAACTCACCTCCATCTCTTACCGCCTCTGGATAAAAATCTTTCTGCAATCCCTCTCCGTTGCAGTGGAGTCATCTGAACATCCCCCGCTCTGCCTACGTCCCGCACTGATTTATCCTGCTCGCTCACTCTCCTCCACAACTCCCTCCCACCACACTTGATGCCCTTGCCCACCTCACTTCCCAAACTACCTCCTACTCACGAACCTCACCCTGGTACACCAGACATCTCTGCTCCCTCAAGGGTCAGGTGTGGGTCACTGAACTCATCTGGCTCAAGTCTGACCTAACGACCCACTGTCAGATCTGGCTGGACCGCATCAAAACATACCCCGCCACCCTCGCCTCTGCCAAATCATCCTTCTACTCTAAGATAACCTTGGAGGCGAAGGACAACCCCAGGCTCCTATTCTCCACCACCAACTGGTTCCTCCATCCACCTCCCCACCCCTCTCCTTACCTCCCAGCTCCACCTCCTCGCCCCTCTACTCTTCGACACCATCAATCTGTCGCTATAATCTGGCACCATTCCCATCCCCATAAAAATAGATATAATCACCCCAATCCTGAAAAAACCTCTGGACCCATCCCTGCCTTCTAACTACCGGCCCATCTGCAAACCTGGCTCATTCGTCTCCTACAACTCCCTTCACAAGCCCCTTCAATCTGGTTTCTGTGCTGCTCACAGCACAGAAACTGCTCTGGTCAAGGTGACAAACAATATTTTGTCCATCTGTGAACCAGGGCTCCCTCTGCCTCCCCGTCCTCTCTGCTGCCTTCGATACCACTCCATTCTCCTCTCCTCTCACCTCAAACTTCAAGGTTCTGTAAGGTCTTATCTCTCACACCACCTCCAATTTGTCTCTGCCAACTCTTTCTCTTCCAGCCCCACACAGACTTGTGTGGTGTTTCTCAGTGCTCCTTATCGTCACTTTCAAGGCCCTCCACGGCCTTGCCCTCTCCAACATCTCTGATCCGCTGACCCCCTATCAACCTGTCCGCTCACTCCATTCAGGCTCCGACCTGCTCCAGGTCTCCTGCCCGAGCATCGGCGGCCAGGCTTTCAGCCTCTCTGCCCCACTCTTTGGAACTCTATCCTACAATCCCTTTACCTTGCTCCCTCTCTTGCCTCCTTCAATGCACGACTCAAGACCCCTTTTGCCTTCATCCACCCTCCTACCCTCCCTCATCCCAACCCTGTCCCCCACGCAGATCCCTGACTATTCAGAGCCTTGGGACGTCCTCCCAACGTGAAAAGCACTTTACAAATGTAATTCTGTTGTTGCTCGCTCACTCCCACTCTCGGCTCTCTCACTCCCTCTGCTCAATCCCTCACAAAATATCTCTCCCCGTCAAGCACTCTCTCTCTCAATCACTCTCTCCTGCACTCTCTCACACACTCTTTCTCCCTGATCTACTCTCTTACTTCCCCCTCTCTCATACACTCTCCCTCACTCAATCACTATCTTCCTGCCCATCTCTCCCACACACCCTCTCTCTCCCCTTTCACAATCGCTCACTCCCTGTTCTCCCATTCTCCTCTCTCCCCCCCTCATCCATTATCTCTCCCTCTCAATCAGTCTTTCTCCCCACAGGAGCTGGCGGTTGGTAAGGAAATGTTGGATAGAGACCCGCTTGGCTTCCTCTCAACTTGGGAGGGGCTTCCTGACAGACTGCAGAAACCACTGGTATCATTTCCACTCCATGTGCTGTGTCCTCCCAACCATTGGTTCCTGCCGCTGCTATGAGAAGATGGTTTGCCAGGGAGGGAGGGAGAGTCCAAGCGGTAGTTGGAAATGGTCTTAGGCAGGATGTGGTCTATGGACTGCTGTTGGGCCACCCTGATTTAGAGCAGCACACCTCTGCTGGTCTGAGTTCCAACAATGAAAGCTATCTTTTCTAATCTCATTTTCATTACTTAGGTGCTCATGATATTCCATTATTGAAGCTGTTTAGACTAAAAAATTAGGAACATTGGGAAAACAGTGGCAGGAGGAGTCCATTCATCTGTTAATTCGAACCTGTTCCACCCATTTATTAGAATTTGGTAGATCTTTTAAACTCAACAACCCACCGTTTTGCCATATACTTAATATGTCTCTTTTAAACAACCCTCTTGATTATACCTGCACAGCTTTATCACAAACCACTATGTGAAGAAATGCTTTCTAACCTCATTGCTGATTGTTGAGACTTTAACTCAGGCTAGACTGATCCTCTAGTGCAGTATTGGAGAGGATTGGATTTTGGGGGTAAGATGTTGCATTTTTAATATCTTTTCATGTTAAAATTATGCCTAGATAATGAGTTTAAATCCCAACATGGGGCTTGAAACTACAATAAGTTGCATCACATAAGTCGCTTCAGTCAGAATCATAACATTTACTCTGATTTACACAAAATCGGAGTTACAGGCAAACTATGTAAATTGGATCAAATCCAATTTAATCAATAATCTATACTGCGCATGTGTAATTCACTGCAGCTGGTAAGTCTTCAGGCAGTACTTTGTCACTGAAATAGGTGGGTGACGTGTGGTGATGAGTCAAGACTATGTTTCCCGCAATTTAATGTGTCTTGACCCATTGTCGTGTGCACACTTACTACGAGCAAGCATTGGAATCACAGGAAACTAAGGTCTTCTGCACACTGGGCGACAGATAAGACTACATTTTCCGCAATTCAATGCAGCTGGTCGGTAAGTGTGGGAGTAAGTAGGGGATGAAGTAGGCGTTACAAGTTTGGAGATGATAAATACGACCGGTACAAAGAAACCCAAGTGGTTATGATAGGAACACAACCTGCATGAATACACTTGTGGTGCCAAGGAGTGAATGGATTTGAACACGAGTGAGGGGATCTTGAAGTCGATCCGTTCAGTGATGCCAGTGGAGCCTGGGCCAGAGCTGGTGAGCTGTGGGGACGGAGTTTGGATTGAATTCAAGATCCCGTTTCTCCTCTTTGTATCCTTTGACAGTCTCACCCGACCTGACCTCTGTGATCTTCTGAAATCTAATGACCTTCCATCCCCTTCACTCAGCGAGCAAAGGCCTTCTTCAAATCTTTACTGTTTTTGCCTCATCATCGGCTAGCGGGCTTTCAGCCCCCACTCTATGGAATTCCAATCTGGAGTCCGTGCTATTGTCTGAAAATGTATCTCTTTGATCACACTGTCAGAAACCTTTCTCCTTAGCATCTCTCCAGCAATGAGACATCTTCCAGAAGTGCAAGCCACCACATAAATCCTATTGTAATAATAATAATCCTTGCATTTTGATATAACGCTTTATTACGTCTTTGATACGTCTCAAAGCGCTTCACGGAATATACTGTAAAATAAATTGACTGTATTTTGTGAGCAAAATGTGACAGCCAATTGCACACAGCAGTGTTCCACAAACAGTCATGGATTTAGTGACCAATTTATTATTGGTTTTGAGGAATTATTACCCCAAGAAATGCGACCCGCCAATTGACTAACAACCGGGTTCTTACTTATTGCTAGGTAAACAGAGGCATGTGGAGTAAGGAAACTTGCCCAACATTTTGTTCTGTCCGGGACTCGAACCCAGCTCTCTCTCTCTCTCTCTCTCTCTCGTTTGCAAGGTGAGTGCTCTGACCACTGAGCTGCAGGACTTAACGTCCAATTGTATTGTACTAACTAAACCAAACGGAAACACATCATATCTGTAATTTTATTTTTCATTAAGTATTTATCCTATTTGCTTTTGAGGAAGAAAAGAAGCAGGGTGTCCTTGGAGCTGAGTTGACCAGCATGCCTGGCAATAGAATGTTGGAATCGAGACAGCCCTTTGTGGGGTCTAAGTAGTCCAATTCCTGAGGCAAGCGGGTCCACAGTAACCCACTCGCACCCGCTCCCCGCCATCCAAATGACGCGCATCTCCGCCCAGAGCCGCTCCACCCACTGCGGTATTGAGCAAACAGCATGAAAGGCATAGAGTGTAGCACATTGTGTACAGGTGTGTAGTGCAAGGGGGTGTTTATAGCGGATTCTAAGAAAAAAGTGCAGCCGCACTTTTCTATTGGCCCAGCTCATTGGTAAGCCCTGGAAGAGCAGATAATTCACTGGGGACAGGGAGTCATCCCACTCAGCTCTTGTTAACCCTGCATTGAAAGCACTCACACTTAGGGTGGTTCTAGCTGGACAAGTAGCGGGAATGTTTGCCAGAAAGAGATATCAATGGCGAGCTATGCAATTTTAGCTGGATAGTCTCCAGCAGTTACCCCAACCTGCACTCTGGGGTTCCCAAGCCTTGGTTCTTGTCAACCCGTGCCTAATACGCTCCAGAATTGGGTAATTAGGATGCATCCCTTTTTGGAGAGTGCACTATTCAAATGAATAGCTCTGGAATTTCCATGTGCTGGTGGGATGCATGGAATTCTCAGTTTGGTTTAGATACTCTCAAGCACGGTGATGGATTTCCGCATCTGTCAGGACCCGGGAAGTGTGCAAATCAAAGCCCTAAAGTGTAGGGCATTGAAGCTTTACAGAGAGTGCTTTCAATGGAGAGGAGCCAGTGCAAGTGACATGCAGATAGCAAGGAGGACAGGGAGGGCATCTGAGTTTGATTCCCAGCAAGGCAAAATGTTGGGCAAGTTTTCTTCTTCCACACACCTCTGTTTACCTAGCAGCAAGTAGGAACCCAGTTGTTAGTCGATTGGTGGATCACTTTTCCAGGGGTAATAACTACTTCAATAAAAAATAATAAATTGGTCACTTCAATCCACGACTGTTTGTGGGATGCTGCTGTGTGCAAATCTCTGCCACGCTTTTCTTACAAAATATACAGTCAATTCACTTTACAGTATATCCTGTGAAGCACTTTGAAACGTCTCGAAGATGTGATAAGATGCTATAATAAATACGAGGATTATTAATATTATCTCTGAAGATGCTGAGTACTACAGGACTGAACTAGAATATTAACCGTTCAATCTTGTTTTAGATTGTGTTAATGAAAAGCAGGAAAATTCACAGCTAACCTGCTAAAGAGTGTAAGATTTCCATCTCATACCTTCTCTCCACGTTCTTTGCTGACTTGTCTTTTCTCATTTACATCACATTTATTTCCAAGAATCATTTTTTCCACGTCAGCCGAGGCATGCTGTGAAAGTGAGAGAGAAAACAATCTATGGGGACATTGCCGTGTACAATTGGACTTTTGTGTTTACTACAAATCACCTGTGAAGTGTTTTAAGATGTCCTCCTAACATGAAAGGTAACAAACCAAATGGAAGGATTATTAGTCAAAAGGAAAATCTGTGTCCCAAGAATTGGACAAAACACAAAGCCCCCCCCCCCACACACACACACAGTTTCCCCCCCACACACACACAGTCCCACCCCCACACACAGTCGTTTCCCCCCACACACACACACAGTCGTCCCCCCCCCACCACACACAGTTGTTGTTTCCCCCCCCCCTACACACAGTCGTCGTCCCCCCACACACACAGTCGTCGTCTGCTCTTCATTCTGCTTAATGGGATCTCCACAATATATTTTCAGTATAAAACTGTCTACAAGAAAATGGATCTCAATTTGCTAAATCGAGAGGTTCTGGACACAATGGCCTTCAGCACCTTCAGAAAAGGAGGGAGGGGGGGAAAAATTCACAAAGGTATCAATTCAGACAGTGGGGTCTGGCTTATGGGTGAGGGGATAGTTTCTAAATCCAAGTTGGCAATACAAAACTTGAGTTTTCAATCTGCTGACGACACTTTACTTTCAAAAGTCAATGAGTCCTGAAAGATCTAAGTAATTGGGTTTGGGTTTGTAGTGCGCACGTACCTCTTCAATATTCCGGATCCAGTTCTTGATGTTGTCAAATGATTTCTCATTGGTGATGTCATACACCAGCATGATACCCTGGTAGAAACAAGAGGCAGATAGTGTTTGGTAATGTCAGGTGGTGTTATAGCAAATGATGCCCAGCTGCCACCTACACACACCCAATAGTTTACCATCATGGCTCAGGAGGTAGCATTCTCGCTTCACAATCAAAAGGTGGATTCAACCTGCACTTTGGGATTTGGAACTCATAGTCTAAGGTGACGCTCCAATGCAGTCCTGGGGTTTGCTGCATTGTTAAGAATTAAATCAGGGTGGCTCTAATCTTTGGCTGCCAAGGACCAGTTGCCCTATTTGAGAAATGTCCGTGGGCAATATAAACAATATTTTTGTGTTTCCCTTACAGAAACATAACAACATTTATCACATTGGAAGGACGTTTCAAAGCGTTCAACACTGTCAGCCAGGCATCTGAGCTGGGGGAGGGAGATGAGAGAGGTGGGATAGGGATGGGAAAAGATGACCGAAAGCACAGTCAGGTCTTGACGTGCCTTGAAAGAGGGGAGGGATCGAGGAATGGAGCTCGAGGATTGGGGGCAAAATGGCAACGTGAGGCAGAAGGGTCATGAAGCGAGACGGTATTTGCCCTGGAAAGGGAACAGCTGGGTTGAGAGGTCACAGAGTTAGTGGGAGAGGGGGCATTGAAGGATGTAGAGGAGTTTTTCACTTGGTGGGAGGGAGGCTCTAGCGTATACCTCTCTCAATCACTAATTCTCTGGGCTCCCTCACACACTGTGCCTTCACTCTATGCTCTCTCTTGATTTCTTTCTCTCCCAATCTCTGCACACTCTACCCCTCTGTCAATCACTGTATCTCTCCCCTTCTCACTCAATCTCTCTCTCTCTCACTCTATCAGTCAATCAATCACACTCTCTCAATGAATTACTCTCTCTCTGTCCCACTCCCCCTCTCACACACACTCGGCCTATCTCGCTCTCTCAATCACCCTCACGTCTGTCTCTCTCTCTCAATCACCCTCACTCTCTCACACAAACACCCTCACACTCTCTCTCACACATAAGCACCTTCACTCTCTCTCCGTCTCTCGCAGACACACAATCAATTACCCTCACACACACTTTCTCACCCAATCACCCTCGTATTCTCTTTCACACAATCACCCTCACTCTCTCCCTCACACAATCTCCCTCACACAAACACCCCCTCTCTCACACACAGCCTCACATTCTGTCTCTCGCACAATCAATCAGCCTCACACACACTCTCTCTCAATCACTCTCTCTCTCTCTCAATCACCCTCTCTCTCACTCACCCTCTCTCTCACTCACCCTCTCTCTCACTCACCCTCTCTCTCACTCACCCTCTCTCTCTCACTCACCCTCTCTCTCTCACTCATTCGCTCAATCACCTCCTCTCTCGCTCAATCACCTCCTCTCTCGCTCAATCACCTCCTCTCTCGCTCAATCACCTCCTCTCTCGCTCAATCACCTCCTCTCTCGCTCAATCACCTCCTCTCTCACTCAGTCACCCTCTCTCTCTGTCACTCAATCACCCTCTCTCTCTGTCACTCAATCACCCTTTCTCTCTCACTCACCCTCTCTCTCGCAATCACACCCTCTCTCTCGCAATCACACCCTCTCTCTCGCAATCACACCCTCTCTCTCTCAGTCACCTTCTTACACAAACTCTCTCTCCGCGTATCTTAATCACTCTCACTCCTCCTCTCCCATACTCTCTCTATCACTCTCCTACTCGCCCTCACACACCGTTTGTCCCTCACTCTGCCTATCACTCCCTCTCTCCCTGCCTTTGCCCCCCCTCTCTCACCCCCATTCACACACACACTCTCTCCTCACATTCTCTCTCGCCCACTCGCTCTCAATCAGCCTAGGATAGTGTGCAGTGACAGGAGGCAGTGCTGCGTCCTCCCAGCTGCCGGCTCCAGCCACTGCCGAGAGGAAGATTGCCAGGGAGGAAGGGAGCGGGCAGCCTGAAGTTGGAAATGGTCTTGGGCCGGATGAAATCAACTGCTAGGCTGCCAGTTGGATCACTCTGTTCAAGAGAATCCAAGTTAAAAACTTCCATGCAGCGCCTCCTACACGTAGAAACTCCAAAGTTTAGAATGGATTCTCATGCTCGGACACTCATTATTACCCAATTATGGAGAGTATTTGGTGCAGGTTGGTAAGAGCCAAGGCTTGAAAATCCCAAAGCATGTGTTGGGGTAACTGCTGGAGTTAAATCAACTAAAACCACTTAGCTTGCCATTGAAAGCGCAATGTGACAAGCTTTGCACTATTTGCCCATCTGGGACCACACGACCCATTAGGGTGTTACAAAGTGAAAGAAACTGCTTGGTTCTGTCCCTCCTACCATGATGAATCATGCTTGGTCATCAGCAGTGCCTTGGAGTATAGTGAAGCAGCCTGGCTCAGGAAATGAAACAGAGAGACCACCAAAGGTTTGGCTCAATTCTGACATTCCATCGTCAAGCAGATCACCTTGGAACCAGTTTAGCTCCAGGGAGACCCACTTACCTTCCCCCACACCCACCCCCAGGATAGTAACTAGCTGGTCATCTGATATTGGACAAGCATAAGTTTGAGCTCTCATTAGGTGGATGACAGGCTTGAGTGTGAAAAGGAGCAGTGCTTGCCGTGCGTTTAAGAGCTGTGATCAGTGAGTTTTGGACCATTAGAAAAATCGCTTTGTGACGTTGTACCCTGCTCAATTAAAAAAAATAAGGATTTTCTTTTTCTTTTACACTAACTGCACAATTTACAACGGACCTTGACCCTCGTTTCACTCCATTGCCCCATTTCCCTCAGACCCATCCATGGCGCTAATCCTTTCGCTTCTAGTCTAGGTGTGCACATTTGGTTGCCGTCCTCTCTTCTCTCTCTCTCCCCGCCCCCACTCCCAATCCTTCACTACTTCCACTCCTCTTCTATGCCTCCTCTGCTCCTGCCTGTCATCCTCAGCCAGGCTCACCACGGCACTCAAGGATGCCTCTACTAAAGCAGTCATCCCAATTGAACGTTCTGTTATTTGGCTCTACAACTCCCCCACTACCATTTAACACTTTGGTCTCCATCACATCTGTAAGTCCTTCGGTACAACAGTTATCTCCGCTCACAGTTAAGTGCTGACGAATGAATGTGGCTCAAATCTGGCCTCAGCATTCACCTCCATATTTGGCTGGACCTCACTAAAGCTCATCACTTTGCCCTCATCTCAGCCAAGTTGTCCAATTCCAAGATAACCCTGAAGACTAAGGACAAAACACTCTGGAGGCTAAGGTAAACTCTTCACCACTATTTTCTCTAATGTGAGGAATGCATTTCCTTGGGTCAAAAACAGGTTTCACTTTACAAGTGAAGCTCTTTGAGACTTCTCACCGCCGTGATAAGGCACTGTATCAAATATCAAGGATTATTACTATTATTATCTATCTCTTCCCTCATTTCCCTCATGAAACTGGTCCTGTTCACCTGACCCCATCCTACCCCTCTCTTCACTATCCAGCCTCTTTCACCTCCTTGCCCCTTGCTGACAGACTCGATCGAACTCTTCCTCTGAAAATGTTCCTACTTCCTTCAAAGCTGGTACTGGAACGAGTCATTTGCCTATCAGCTTTGCTCTTCCCTTTCCCAACACTTCCTGTATGAAGCCTTCCAATCCAGATTTTGCCCAGTCCATAGCCCAAGATTACCCTATCAAAGTCGCCAATGACATTTTCTACCTCGTCTATCTCAGTGCTTCTGTTCTATCCCAGCACCTTTCTCTCTTCCAACAAAGTTTCCTTCTGCAACCGCATAGGTCCTGTAAAGTTCCTCCAACAGATCGAGTTCAAGATCCGTATTCTTGCATTTAAATCCTTCCATAAAGCCCTATCCTACCCCTGCAATCTCCATCAGCCATATCAATCCAGATGTTCCTTCGACTTGGCCAACAATGGTCCTACATCCCTTGCACTATACGCAAACCCACTTGGTGCCCGCGCTGTGGAATTCCATCCACATGTGCCTTCCACCCCCTTCCTCCCCTCTCTTTTAGGGTACATCTCAATACTACACTTTGCCATCTTTCCCCTCTCTCCTCATCCCCCTCCCAGCTCAGAATTGCCAAACACTTTGGAATGTCTTCCTGACGGGAAATGAGTGATTCAAGTTTAAATTATATCGTTTTGTGTTAGGAACTACCTAGCTTCCTCTCAGTATGATATACATGAAAACATAGCTACCATCTTCCTACCCACATCCTGACCAGTGAGTGACGGTTCCACCAGTTAATAATAATAATAATCCTTGCATTTGATATAGCGCTTTTGACGTCGGGAGGACATCCCAAAGCTTTTCACAGAATATACTGTAAAGTGAATTGACTGTATATTTGTGGGCGAACGCGGCAGCCAATTGCGCACAGCAATGTCCCACAAATAGTCGTAGATTGAAAATGACCAATTTATTATTGTTTTTGGTTTTGGAGGGATTATTATTAGGCTCTGTGTGGAGTAAGGAAACTTGCCCAAGATTTCGCCCTCTGCCGGGAATTGAACTCAGGTCTGTCGCTTGCAAAGCGAGTGCTCTAACCACTGAGCTACAGGACTCCACAGTTAGAAGGTGTGGAACTTGAGCAGTAGCTGCTAACTCTCTGCATGGCATTGACTATGGGTGGGGAGGTGGGGGGGGCCGCGGGAATTGGATGAGCCAAAGTGTCTTCTTCATCCAAACCAATCTTGTGAACATTCTTCCAAAATAAATTTGTCAATCACTTCATGGCTGTTTGTGGGACATTGCTGTGTTCAAATCAACTGCTGTAGTTGCTGCAAAAATAGTCACTATCCTTTGCAATAAAATCATGTGAACCGATTTGAGGTGAAAGGTGCTATATCAAATGCAAGGATTATTAATAGGTTTCAGCCCTTACTAGATGGAGAGCAGGTAACAGGAAGTCCAGGAGAGGTTCTTGATGGAACAGTTTAACATGAAATGCATGAGAACATTGACTCTTGCCCACAGCTCAGACCCACATCCTATCTATTGAGCGAGTGATGGTTTCACCAATTGGAAATGTGGAGCTTGAGTGGCAGGTGTTTACCTTCTCTAGATGCCAATCAAGATGGATCCCAAGCCTTGAAAACATGAGTGTTCGTAGACCCAATTCCGGGTAATATCTTCAGCAATTATCCAAAGCCTCAGTTTCCTCATCAGCTTATTCAATGGACATCTGTCTTTAGCATGGTGGGAGGACCCATCACACAGTTCAGTGCATGATGTGCCAGTTTGATGTTCATATTGTTTATTCCGTCCAATATTCAAAGGGCCCAAAATAATCACAAAAAGAATGGGAGGGGGGTAGAAAATATTTCTTTCCACAAATGGTGTTGGGAGTTGAAATAAGGTATCCTCTGCCACAAATTGTAGCTGAAGCCGAGTCCATCAATTCTGTTTGAAACTAGATGCTTGAAAAACAGGCATATTAAAGGGTATGTGAAGCAACTGGAGAGTGGGATTTCTCATATGGAGAAAAACACTTTTGCAGACTTGTTTCTGTGCAAACTGCTTGCAGTTAGAAGTTTCCTCCAGCAGTCAAGCATAAAACTGGAGTTATTAGCACTTACCATGGCTCCACGATAATACGCAGTGGTGATGGTCCGGAATCGTTCTTGACCAGCTGTGTCCCTAAAATATTTGAACACAAATTTTTCAGATTTACCACCAAAGTAACAACTGTAAAGTACCAAAACCCACTTTCGAGCATTTCACAATCTTTCGATACAATATATTGTATTATACAATGGACCTCTTGCTATGGGTAGCTAGATCATAATATTTGACTTTCTTTCCATGATATTTTCATATCCCACTTCACCCCCGTCCCATAAGTCATTTCATTCTGATAAATATTAATTCAAAACACTGAGCAACTTTTGATTGCTTTTGTTCAGTTTTGTTCCTGATATCTATTGTCTTTGCAACTTTAAAAACATTCCTTCACAGCAACCACATAGCTTTATCAAGGGAACACTGAAACAAGTGCTGTGAAACATTTTTGGAACCTAGATTAATAGAATAAAAGTACTTTCTATACGGCGAAACACTGAAAGGTTTGCAGTTAAAATTAATTTGGATGAATGTGAGACCATGCAGAAAAGCAGTCCCTAATTACCTGCCAGTATATTTATATATAGAGAATCTTTGCATTTGGCATATAGCACCTTTCAAATCAGGAGTATATCTCAAAGTGCTTTACATGATTTACTGTAGATTGCGGTGACTGTATTTGTGGGTGAACACAAAAACTAAATGCGCACAACAAAGTTTACAAACGGGCATAAAGTGAATGACTAATTTATTTGGACAATTGTTGGCCACAATCAGAAAGGCCACAAGATGACTGGTGGGAAATGAAACGTGATTGTCTTAGTCAGCATCTAAGCCATGATGCTTAGCACAAACATCTTGCATGAATGAACATTTCTCTTCACCTGGATGAGCACACAGATTCAACAAACTGAAAAGAAATCCAACTGCCTTTTAACCAGAATATTCAGTTACAACAACAACAACATTACATTTGTATAGCGCCTTTCACGTCGGGAGGATGTCCCAAGACGCTGGACAGTGACAGCATTTCAGACCTGAGCTGGGGTCAGGGGGGGAGAAGGGAGGGGAGGGGAAGGGGAGTGGCTGATGGCATGGTAGAAGAGGAGGGTTTTGAGGCAGGACTTGAAGGAGGCTAAGGAGGGGGCGAGGCGGAGTGATTGGGGGATGGAATTCCAGAGGTTGGGGGCAGAGTGGTTGAAGGCTCTCCTGCCAATGTGGGTCGGGGGGCGTGGAGCAGCCAGAGCTGGCTGAGCAGAGGGAGCGGGGTTAGGAGATCAGGCGTAGCATTAGCACAGGATTCGAAAAGCCTGACTCAAATGTTTTCACCCTAAATGAACTCCTTTACTCTTTGCCATGTGTCTGGCTCCTTACCATATTTGCAGTTTAATTTTCTTGCCATCCAATTCAATTGTTCGGATTTTAAAGTCAATACCTTAAAAAAAAGAAAACAACACATTTCTATCTTTATATTACCAGACAAAACTTCTGTAGCATCGCCAGATCATACTCTTCCTTTCTTCTCCTGACAATTTTATGTTTTTTACTGTATTTTAATGTGTATACTGTGTGCAAGGACAGTTTACTGATAGCGTGTTGCTAGTACTTAATGTGGGCAAGAACAGGAAACGGCCAGTGAAATGAAAGTAAGCAAGGACAGATAAATGCACCAAGTAAACAAAGCTTGTCTCATTCTTCCAAACCATTAAAAGCAGCCGACTCGTCTCCTATCTACCATGTAGAGACAAATGGTTACCAATCTAATGTTTTGCATCAAACATATTTTATCTGTCCACTCCCTCCCTGCTCCATGTACCCCGCCTGCCCCACCATCAGCGGTCGAGCTTTTAACCTCTCTTCCCCTACACTCTGGAACTCCATCACACATTCCCTTTGCCTCACTCCCTCCCTTGCCTCTTTCATGGCAGACCCTCTTCAACCATGCTTTCGGTCTCCTACCCTCTTTGCCTTCCACCATCCCTGATCCCAACCCACCCCCCCCACTTGGGTCCTAATCTCTGACAGTTCAGCATCTTGGGATGTCCTCCTGACCTGAAAGGCACTTTACAAATGTAATTTAGTATTGTATCAGCAACAGTCCCTGAACTAATCCAGCAGTTCCTTTTGCCCTTTACGAATAGCAATAGATTCTGCAGTTGCCTAAATTACTGGAAAAATCTGGCAGCAAAACACTTTGTATCTTTTCTTTGTGCAGAGTATCTCAAATGTGATAATAAAAATCTACAATTCCACATATGCACAACACCAACACATGGAAAATTCTCTATCTGGAATGGAGCGCGAACTCAGTCTCCCGATTCATTTAACACCACCAGCACCACCAACAACAAAATTACATGTGTAAAGCACCTTTCATGTCGGGAGGACATCCCAAGGCGCTGGACAAAGAGTTTCAGACCCGAGCTGAGGGTCGGGGTGGGGGGGAAGCAGGGACATCGAAAGCACAGTCGAAAGAGGGTCTTGAGATAGGTCTTGAAGGTGGCGAGACGGAGGGACGGAGTTCCAGAGGATGGGGGCAGAGTGGCGGAAGGTTGCTCGCCCCAACATTGGCAGGTGGGCCTTCTGCCACTCTGCCCCCACCCTCTGGAACTCCATCCCGCAGTCCCTCCGCACCATCTGTTAATGCTTGGGTTTTAACAGGGACACTACCTGTGGAACTACGCTGTGGAACGTGAGCCACCCTGAGTGACGGACACCATCTAAATACAAGTTGATGATTTACGGGATTAACAACATGGCTGATTTGCCATCAACAATATTGATCAATGTGGCCCCAGCCCGGCCACACCCCCACTGGCCACACAACCCAGCCCAGCCACACCCACACTGGCCACACCCACCCCCCCAGCCCGGCCACACCCCCACTGGTCACACACCCCCAGCCCGGCCACACCCCCACTGGCCACACCCCCCCAGCCCAGCCACACCCACACTGGCCACACCCACCCCACAGCCCGGCCACACCCCCACTGGCCACACACCCCCACCAACCTGGCCGCAACCCCACTGGCCACACACCCCCAGCCTGGCCACACCCCCCCAGCCCAGTCACACCCCCACTGGCCACACCCCCCCCAGCCCAGCCACACCCCCACTGGCCACACCCCCCCAGCCCAGCCACACCCCCACTAGCTACACACCCTCAGCCCGGCCACACCGCAACTGGCCACACAACAACAACAAGATTCCATTTATAGAGTGCCTTTCACGTCGGGAGGACATCGCAAGGCACTGTACAGTTGGGTCAGGACCTGAGCATTGGGGGGAAATGATTAGCGTGAGGGGAGGGAAGGGAGGGAGCAAGGATGGGGTAGAGAGTCGAGAGGGGAGCTGAAGGCACGGTCAAAGAGAAAGGTCTTGAGACCGGCCTTGAAGGAGGAAAGGGAGGAAGTGGCGAATGCACTGGGAATGGAGCTCCAGAGCCTCGGGGCTGAGAGACTGAAGGCCACCGATGGTCGGGCAGTTGGGGCGGGGGATGTGGAGCAGACCGGAGCCAGAGGAACGGAGGGTACGGGCAGGTAGGTAGGGGGATAGTAGGTCGGAGAGGTAGGAGGGAGCGAGGCTGTTAATGGGCCTTGTAGGTGAGGATGAGGATCTTGAATTCGATCCTCTGGGGGATGGGAAGCCAGTGGAGGCGAGCGAGGGTGGGAGTGAGGGTGGGAGTGAGGGCGAGGGTGAGGGTGAGGGTGGGAGTGATGTGGTCGCGAAGCCTGGTGCGGGACAGTACACGAGCTGCAGAGTTCTGAATGACCTGCAGTGTGGAGGGAGGGCCGGGAAGGCCGACGAGGAGAGAGTTCCCATAGTCCAGCCTTGAGGTGATAAAGGCGTTGACCAGAGTTTCAGCCGCGTGAGGTAGTGCTGTAGTCTGGTGACATTCCGCAGGTGATGGAAGGCGGTGCCAGTTGTGGTGCGGATATGAGGGAGAAAGGACAGCTCAGGGTCGAGGGGAACCCCGAGGTTCCTGATGGCTTTGCGAGGTGGAGAGTGCGGCCTTGGATGCTGATGGTGTCAGCGCCTGAGGTGCGGAGGCGCTGACGTGAGCCAATCAGGAGGGCCTCAGTTTTGCGCACATTGAGCTGAAGAAAGTTGTCTCTCGTCCAGGACTCGATGTCGGACAGACAGCTGTCAGGACATCGGGGGTCGGGGAGTTGAGGGTAGAGGAGGAAAGGTAGAGTTGGGTGTCATCCGCATACATACAACCCCAGCCCAGCCCCCACTGGCCACCCCCCCCCACTGGCCACGCACCCCCAGTATGGCCACACCCAGCACCCCCCACCGGCCCAGTCACACCCCCCAGCGGCCGCCCCGGGCCACACCCCCCAGCCCGGCCTGCAGCGACACTCTCACAGCCCGGCTCCGAGCGCCGGAAGCGAGCAGGGAGCCGCGAGCGGGCTGCTGTGAGAGAGAGGCCGGGGCCGCCATTACCGATGGTGGAGATGAATGTGGTGTTGAACGCATCCTCGGAGAAGCGGAACAGGACACACGTCTTCCCGACGCCGCTGTCGCCGATCAGCAGCAGCTTAAACAAGTAATCGTACGTCTTCGCCATGGCCGCCTCCCCCCGCCCGCTCCGCCGGAAGTACCGCCTCCAGTTTCACATTGGTCAGGGCCGTGTAGCGTCGCGTTCTCATTGGTTAGCTGTTCCCACTGGCCCCGCCCTGCTCGCGGCTGTTGGCCACCGGCTGCGTCACTCAGGCGCCTCGGCTCAGCCTGACAACCATTTCCGCCGGGAACCCGACAGCGAAGAGCCGCGCGGCGCCGCCCAACCGCATCCGCCGCCCAACCGCATCCGCCGCCCAAACGCTCACTCCCAGCAGCAAGGACCTGCCCGCGGAGGCGCTGCCGCCTGTACTGTGACGGAAGGGAACGGAGCGCGAGCGGCTCTGGGCAACTTGCCGCGCATCTTAACGGACCCGGAAGTGAGTTCACAGTGAGGTGAGAGTGTCAGAGCGAGACCGGGCCCATGGCGGCGCCCAGCGCGGCCCTCACAGTGAGTGTGGGGGGAGGGGCGTGCCTGTGGGGGGAGGGGCGTGCCTGTGGGGGGAGGGGCGTGCCTGTGGGGGGAGGGGCGTGCCTGTGGGGGAAGGGGCGTGCCTGTGGGGGGAGGGGCGTGCCTGTGGGGGGAGGGGCGTGCCTGTGGGGGGAGGGGCTGCCTGTGTGTGTGGGGGTGTGCCCGTTGGTGTGTGTTGGGGGGGGTTCGTGTCCGTGTGTGTGTGTGGGGGGGGGGTGAGGGCGTGCCCCCCTGTGTGGGGGACTGTATGTGTGTGTATGTGGCCCTGCCCCCGGGGGAGTGCTCACAATTCGTCCCCCCCCACTGGCCCTCTGTTGACGCTGTGCTCCAGGCCCTCCTCCCCACCCTCTTCACTCACGTTGTTGCTCTGTGCGGTTGGGTTCCTCGTGGGCCACGGCTTTCAGGTCAACTAATCATGAGAGCGATTTAGGTCTGGAAGCATTTCTTGTCAGAGGTTGTGAAGTTGAGGACAATAATTATCACTCGGGGGTGATAGTACCAGAGAGGTCATCAAGAGGAAATGGTTTTGTGTCTGTGTTTTACTCTGTGTGCGTGTGTCTATGTCTGTGTTCATGTGTGCGAATAAAAATGTTGGTGTCTTTGTATAAGTATTGTGTGTAGGTTGTGGGTGTTTGAATGGTATATGTTGGGAGTGGAAAATTTGCCAAAGATAAACCTGTTGTATATGACATAGTGATTGTGATTTGTGTTGGGTATTCTCATACTAACATGTTTGTGTCATTGTATGCAGGATCTGCTGGTGATGCATTTGTGTTCCTGACTATGGAACCCACAGCTGAGTTGCCGAAGATCCTGCACGCCTGCATTGCAGATCAGCTGCCAGCGGAGAAAGCATTAGCAATCTTCACTGATTCTCCTCATCCTCTGGCGGTCAACCATGTTACCCAAGATGACAAAATAGTGACTCCTGATTCAAAGATGAAACTGCAGGATGAAGGTGGCACTTCTACCCAGTGGACCAGATATTTGAATCGAGAACCGTCCTGTTTTTCAGAGGAACTGAAGCTCGCTTTGCAAAGTGACAGACGCTTGCAAAGCTACACACACACAAGTGATGACTCTTCCAGTGGCAGGGAGTTATCCCTGTCTTCAAGCACCGATCTAGTGGATTCTGACGAACTGTCATCGGAAAACAATGAAGGGAGGATGACTTCTTGGGATGGCGCTCACAGGTAAGCTTTCTACTCAACAGCCTCAGAAGTGCTCTTTGTCTGATGGAACAGTGTTTCTTATATAAAATTGCAGGCAGGTAATCTTAAACAGAAATATTGTAGTTAAAAGTTGAGGAGTTGATGGTTTCCAGCTGAGTGTATTGAACAGATATTAAAAGGCTGTTGGGAAAGCATTGTGTTTAAATTTCCAGAGCCCTCTGGATTCTGGGATATATTGACTCCCAAGAGAGTACCTTGACAGGTACAAAGATTCACACATATTTACACAGATTCTATAGCACGGAAATGGGCCACTCAGCCCAACACATCTGTGCCGGTGTTTATACACCACACAAGTCTCAACACACTCGTTACTCCCTCCCACACGCTCTATTTCCCGCTATCTCATGTAAAGGTCTAGCTTCCTCTTCAATGTTTCTATATTATCTGATTCAACCACTACTTCAGACAGCGAGTTCCACAATCTCACAACCCTCTGTGTGAAATAGTTACGGACTACCCAGCCAGTGGGAACAGCTTAACATTAATAAACCCTTTTCTAATTTTAAACACTTCTGTTAGGTCCCTTCTTAAATGTCTCTTCTCTAGCGAAAAAAAGGCCCAACCTCTCTAGTCTCTCCTGATAGCAGTAACGTGCCAGCCCTGGTATTATCCTCGTAAGCTCACACTATACTCTTTCCATCAACAACAACAACAAATTGCAATTGTATAGTGCCTTTCAGGTCAGGGGGATGTCTCAATGCGCTGGACAGTCAGGGAGCCATATCCAAGCTGGTGGTTGGGGTCACAGGAGGGGTGGAGGGCAGGGAGGGTAGGGGTAGGACAGTAACCGAAGGCACGATCGAAGTGGAGGGTCTTAAAGGAGGCAAGGGAGGAGATGAGGCGGAGGAAATTGAAACAGAAAAAGGAGGCTTACGATAAATGTCAGGTCCAAAATACAGAAGATAATCAAATGGAATATAGGAAGTATAGAGGAGAACTGAAAAAGGAACTAAGAGGGGCAAAGAGATTGTATGCGAAAAGATTAGAGGGTAACATAAAAGTGAACCCTAAGGTACCTTTTATTCTTGACATAAGCATGTCAAGAATAAAAGGTTAGTCAAAGGTAGAGTGGAACCAATTAGGGACCAAAGAGGAAATCTTCTTGTGAGACAGAGGGCACGGCTGACGTACTGAATGAGGACTTTGCATCTGTCTTCACAAAAGAAGAGGATGCAGCCAATGCCACAGTATCGGAGGAGACGGTAGAGAAATTGGATAATATAAGAATAATCCGAGAGGAGGGACTAAGAAGGTTGTCGGTGCTCAAGGTGGATAAGTCACCCGGTCTGGACGGGATGCATCCTAGGGAAGTAAGGGTGGAAATAACGGAGGCTCTGGGCACAATCTTTCAATCTTCCTTGGACATCAGGGTGGTGCCAGAGGACTGGAAGATTGCAAATGTGACTCCCCTGTACAAAAAGGGCCAGTCAGCCTAACGTCAGTAGTGGGGAAACTTCTAGAAACTGTAATCCGAGACAAAGTAAATTTTAACTTAGTAAAATATGGGTTAGTAAAGGACAGCCAGCACAGATTTGTTAAAGGCAAATCAAGTCTAACAAACTTAATAAAGAGTTTTTTGATGCAGTAATGGAGAGGGTGGATGAAGGTAATGCAGTTGATGTAGTTTATATGGATTTTCAAAAGGCATTTGATAAAGTGCCACATAATAGACTTGTTAGAAAAATTGAAGCCCATGCCCATGTTACTAAAGGGACAGTGGCAGCGGGTACAGAACTGACTGGGAGACAGAAAGCAGAGAGTGGTGGTGAACGGTTGTTTTTCTGACTGGAGGGAAGTGCAGTGGTGTTCCCCGGGGGTTGGTATTGCGACCACTGCTGTTTATGATCTATATAAATGACCTGGACTTGGGTATAGTGAGGACAATTTCCAAGTTAGGAAAAGTAGTAAACAGTGAGGAGGAGAGTAGCAAATGGACATAGACAGACTGGTAACATGGGCAGACACGTGGCAGATGACGGTTAATTTGGAGAAATGCTAAGTGTTGCATTTTGGGAAGAAGAATGAGGAGAGGCAATATAAGCTGATCGTACAATTTTAAAGGGGGAGAAGGAACAGAGAGACCTGAGGTTCATATAGTAAATCTTTGAGGTGGCAGGACAGGCTGTTAAAAAAGCATCCGGGATACTAGGCTTAGGATAGTAGGCTTTATAAATAGGGGCATAGGATACAACATTCGGGAAGTTATAATGAACCTTTATATAAAACACTGGTTAGGCCTCAGTTAGAGACTGTGTTCAGTTCTGAGCCCTACACTTTAAAACAACAACAACAAGATTGCATTTATAGAGCGCCTTTCATGTCGGGAGGACGTCCCAAGGCGCTGGACAGTTGGGTCAGGGCCCGAGCATTGGGGGAAATGGTCACGGTGAGGGGAGGGAAGGGAGGGAGCGAGGAGGGGGGAAATGGTCAGGGTGGGGGGAGGGAAGGGAGGGAGCGAGGAGGGGGGAAATGGTCAGGGTGAGGGAAGGGAGGGAGCGAGGAGGGGGGAAATGGTCAGGGTGAAGGGAGGGAAGGGAGGGAGCGAGGAGGGGGGAAATGGTCAGGGTGAGGGGAGGGAAGGGAGGGAGCGAGGAGGGGGTAGAGAGTCAAGAGGGGAGCTGAAGGCACGGTTGAAGAGAAAGGTCTTGAGACCGGCCTTGAAGGAGGAAAGGGAGGAAGCGGCGAAGGCACTGGGGGATGGAGTTCCAGAGCCTGGGGGCTGAGAGGCTGAAGGCCCGGCCACCGATGGTAGGGCGGTTGGGGCGGGGGATGTGGAGCAGACCGGAGCCAGAGGAACGGAGGGTACGGGCAGGTAGGTAGGGGGATAGTAGGTCGGAGAGTTAGGAGGGAGCGAGGCCGTGAATGGCCTTGTAGGTGAGGATGAGGATCTTGAATTCGATCCTCTGGGGGATGGGAAGCCAGTGGAGGCGAGCGAGGGTGGGAGTGATGTGGGCGCGGTGTCTGGTGCGGGACAGTACTCGAGCTGCACAGTTCTGAATGACCTGCAGTGTGGAGGGAGGGCCGGGAAGGCCGGCGAGGAGAGAGTTCCCATAGTCCAGCCTTGAGGTGATAAAGGCGTTGACCAGAGTTTCAGCCGCGTGAGGGGTGAGGTAGTGCCGTAGTCTGGCGATGTTCCGGAGGTGGTGAAAGGCGGTGCCAGTTGTGGCGCGGATGTGGGGAAGAAAGGACAGCTCAGGGTCGAACAGAACGCCGAGGTTCCTGATGGCTTTGAGAGGTGGAGAGTGCAGCCTTGGATGCTGAGGGCTGTCAGCGCCTGAGGAACGGAGGTGCTGACGTGAGCCAATCAGGAGGGCCTCAGTTTTGCGCACGTTGAGCTGAAGAAAGTTGTCTCTCGTCCAGGACTCAATGTCGGACAGGCAGCTGTCAGGACATCAGGGGTCATGGAGTTGAGGGTGGAGGAGGAAAGGTAGAGTTGGGTGTCATCCGCATACATGTGGAAGTTAACCCCATGATAGAGGGTGAAGAGGAGTGGACCGAGGACAGAGCCCTGAGGGACACCGCACGAGACAGTGCGGGGGGTGGAGGAAAAGCCGTTTGCAGAGACAAAATGAAAACGGTGGGAGAGGTACGACCTAAACCACTCAAGGACAGGGCCTTGAAGGTTGACGTGGGAGGACAAGCGGTGGAGGAGGATAGAGTCGTCGACCGTATCGAATGCGGCCGATAGGACGAGGAGTCAGAGGGGGCCCTGGTCGCAGATGGTCAAGATGTCATTGGTGACCTTGACCAGGGCGGTTTCCGTGCTGCCCATAGGGACTGGAGGGGATTTAGGAAGGATGTCAAGGCATTGGAGAGGGTACAATGGAGATTGACCAGGATGGTACCAGGAATGAGGTACTTGAGTTATCAGGAGAGGCGAGAGAAGCGAGGGTTATTCTTTTTGGAGCAGAGAAGGTTAAGAAGAGGTGTTCAAAATTATGAGGCAATTCGATAGGGTGAACAAGAAGAAACTATTTCACTGGTCGGTGGGTCGATAACCCGAGGACACCGATTTAAAATAGTTGTTAAAAGAAACAGAGAGGAGGTGAGGAGAAATGTTTTCACACAGCGAGTTGTTGGGATCTGGAATGCATTGCCTGAAAGGCCGGTGGGAACCGATTCGATAACAGCTTTTAATAAAGAAGTAGTTAATTATTTGGGGAGGACAAGTTTGCAGAGCTATGGGGAGAGCGCGGGGAAGTGGGGTTGATCAGAGCTACGGTGAGAGCGGGGGAGTGGGGTTGATCAGGGCTATGCGGAGAGAGCGGGGGAGTGGGGTTGATCAGGGCTATGGGGAGAGGGCAGGGGAGTGGGGTTGATCAGGGCTGTCGGGAGACAGCAGGGGAGTGGGGTTGATCAGGGCTTTGGGGAGAGAGCGGGGGAGTGGGGTTGATCAGGGCTATGGGGAGAGCGGGGGAGTGGGGTTGATCAGGACTATGGGGAGAGAGCGGGGGAGTGGGGTTGATCAGGGCTATGGGGAGAGAGCGGGGGAGTGGGGTTGATTTGGAAGCTCTTTTCAAAGAGCCGACACAGACAAAATGGGCCGAATGGCCTCCCTCTGTGCTGTATAATTCTGTGTCTGTGGGATGGAGTTTCAGAGGGTGGGGTTAGAGAGGCTGAAGGCCTGCCTGCAAATGGTGTGGCGGGCAAGGTTGGGGGATGTGAAGCAGGCCGAAACCCGCTGAGCAGAGGAAACGAGCAGGGATCACAGAAGTAGGGAGGAGCAAGACCGTCAAGGGTTTTGAATGTGAGGAGCAGGATCTTGAACTGTACCCTCTGTGTGATGGGATCCAGTGGAGTCGGGCGAGGATGGGGTTTATAGGATCGCGGAGCCTAGTGCGGCAGAGGGCTGCAGAGTTCTCAATGATCTGCGGCCTGTGGAGGGAAGAGTTTGCAAGGCCAACAAACAGAGAGTTTGTATAGATTAACCTGGTTGTTATGAACACGTGGATGAGTAT